TCGTCCCTAGTAAACATATCAATTAAGTTAAAAGCGTTATCCTCTACGAGATGGATAATGCGCTTCTCAACGAGTACCGGTAAAGAAAGATTGATCGTCCTTGAGGGAAGATATATATATAAGAGAGCAAGATTGCCGCAAAGAATTTCCACTTTGCCGTAAGAAAAGGAAAATTTCGAGAACTGAAACGGGCAATTTTTCACGTGGACGAGGCTGAGAAAGCGGAGGTCAAGCCGAGCTATCTTCGTGAACATTTAGAAGTAGTGGCAGAAGTTTCGTTATATTTCTCTTGAGAAATTTTCCTTTTCCCATTTTCTCAGGCTCTAAATTCTCTTTCGATTCTTATCACACACGTAAAAATATATAAATGTCTTGGAAAAATGAAACGCGATATACTTTCTAAATATGTACGTGTTCAAATATTTTCGTGCATCTTGAGAAATTTATCAAATTGGCCTGTAACGAGATGTTAAGAATTGTATTTCCCTTCGTCTCGAAGAAGACACGAGAGTGAATAAAAAGGAACGTTACAACGTTTGGATAAATACAAAGAAACAAGTACGAGAGTAGCTGGTATCCTTCTTACGTAATAAAAATGACATAAGACGGTAATATCAAAGATTAAATCATGGTGCTCGCGAAAAAGGAAATAAACACTGTGAAAGAAAAATCGTATAAATATGCTAGAGATTTTCTGCGGTAAGGATAAGTTAGTAAAGAACTAAGATCTCTTTTTATCTCGCTGTTTAATCAAACAGGTCAAGAGATACAAACGTTAACACAGAGAAAGGAGTACTAAGATGAATCTACTATTCCTTTCTCCTACAAATTTAAAAGAAATATCGTTTCAAACGTTTCTTTGTTTTATTTTTTACAATAATAACCGTTTGTTATTATCTATTGTTATCTTTCAAGAAATTATTATCAACGTGCATGTATAAACTTATATTGACAGATAATCACTTCGAACGATCATTGATTAATGCTTTATACGAAATACGAGATAGAATATTTAATTCATCAAGAAAAAACAATAAAATAAATTCTCAAAATTAATAATCCCACATTCTATTGAAAAAGTAAAAATTTTAAATTGATATCAATCTAATTGCAAGTATCATAGCAAACTTTTCATTTTTAACCTCGATAAATTTACACATATTTAAATTGTATTTAATAATTATCAATGAAAATCAACTGTTGTCAATTATTTCGATATTAATTTACAAAAATAAAGCGATAACCTATCATCGAATACATACGTCTGATGAAACCATCTTCACAGATAAATACGAAAAAAATACTCCAACAAATTTATATTTTAAAAATTTCATGTCATTTACATCTATCAGTTCCCAGGTATTAACGTTGCAACGTCGTCGACCATCTACGAAGCTTATTTAAATAGCGAGTCGGTGGTCCCTAGGGAAAAATGCTCATAATGCTCATCCACAATTTTGCGAGATAGTGGTTGGGACAACGTAGCTCTCGAAAACGTAGTAATCCTGCAGGAAGTTTCCAAGAAGCGGTTGATTTGAAATTATAATCAAGAGGAGGCTGTCCATAAACGCGACCAGAGTAACAAACCCTCGCGGCTTCAACGTCCAAATATATATCCCCGCGACTTTCCTTCCCTACTTCAAGATTTTCTCCTCTTCCTCGACCGTCCTTCGTCGCATCCTGCGGTCAATTTCGGCCAAAGATGGAAATTTTCGCGGCGATCGGCCATGGATCGCTCAACCTAGCGTTCTTCTCAATTTTTAAAGGGGGTTTAAAAAGATAAAATATGAGATTGAACGCCGTTCAATATTTCGTTGATGGATATTTTGCATCGTTCTCCTTGCTCTTGTCTTCTTTCTCCGTTTTCCTTTTGGCCTCGGATTGAAATGCAACGTTTTAAACGAGCATTGGGCGTGAATTTCGAATATAAATACAGGATTTATATTTTGTGAACAAATATCTAGAGTTATTGTCGCGAGAGGATGGATCTTGTGGTCGTCTTTAAATGTTTATAATTAAAGAGAGACGAAAAAGAGATAAATACCTTCGTTTGGAAGATTTCGTGGAATTTTTGCGAATAATCGACTTGCTTGTTGATATATTTTTCGAGGAAAAGCGATAATGTAAATGTTTGTCCGGCTCGAGGTGAACAACATCTAAAAGTTATTACACTTGGTTATATTTTATAATGAAACAAGATGAATTGTCATAAATTATACAAATGAATTAAAAAAATTTCTTACTTCTCGATCTTATCAATCGCAACAAGTTTTCAGCATCTCGTTTCCTTCTTTCGATATGCAAACAAAAATTTATAAAATTCAATGGAACCATCGTTATCAATAAACACCAAATTTATTCGGAAGAAATAATTTTTTAATCCATCGGAGGAAGAATAACCACCGTCACATTAATTTCATTTCTTATCCTCGATCAATCAAATCTCAAATTTTTCAAAGTGCCTGACAAAATTTTTGGCAAACCTGTCGGCCGGAATTTCTCATTTCTCGCACTGACGAAAGAGAGAACGAACTGCAGACGAATAAACAGGCGGCAAACAAGAGGGAAATACGATCTCTGGAGAAATAGGAAGGAAAAGTTTCTTCTTGATATCCCGGGGAGGGCATCTCACATAACCAGGATGCCGCTCTCTCGGATTCGTTCAGTAATGAATTATTATTCCAGAAGCGCTGGTCCATCGAGACAATGCATTAAATTAAAGGAACCGGCGGGCTCGCGCCACGAAACGTATTCATCGACCGTGGCGAAGATGAAATAACATTAATTAAGCCCGACATTGGAAATAGACGAGAGAACGCGATGATAGAAGCGTACAGACGGTTATCAAACGCGCAGCTTCCAGAAAATTTAATTGAATTCGAAAACAACCGGTTTTCGAACTGGTCTGTTATACATTTGAATCTATTGAAACGATTTGGAAACGAAAAAATCTTAGGAAGCTTAGTTGGTACAAAGAATCGAAAGTGTTGAGTCTTCGAACGTATTTTTCTTTGTATGGAAAAATTACTTTACAGAAAATCGATAGAAAATTGTAAGTTTTTAAGTTGGTTCAAACATAATATTATATTTATTTAATTGAATTAAATTAAATATCGTTTTAAAGAGTAAAAAAAAAATTTGTACTTAAAAAATAGTAATACATCGATTGTTAATTAAAATGATCGATACTTCCTTTCTCCTTAGTTCAAATAGTTTTAGATTTTATATTCAGAACATTTAAAATATCAGTGAAATAGTAGAGTTTTTGAATAAAATATGTATTCAAAAATTTCAAAATAAATCATATTCAACATTCAAAATCCTATTAAAATAAAGTATAATTAAAAAAAAAAATTCTGCAATACTCTCAATTCACCCTTTTGCACAGAAGCTATCAACTTGGCCAAGGCTCTTACAAGAAACTTACTCTTGAAAATCCTTTTAACTTGAACTCGACCATGTCTCGCCGACCGTATTTCATCGCACGGCTCGATCTTTATAGACAAGGTGGCAATTTCCTTTACAGTCTCCACTCACCGTGAGTGATTTATGAAAATGCAGCAAGGAAAAACATTATAGAAAATTCTTTCACATATCAAACCTCAAAAAAATCTTATTTCCTCCCTTCTCAAAGAAAATCCCTCCTCGACATGATACAAAATGAAACAGATTTCCGACTAAAGAAGAGAGAAATCAGATCGTTAATTGAAATTCATTGGTTTATATGGCAGTGGATAAAAGCTGAATTGGGTTCTTTGTTCAAAGATGACGGTGGAATTTCCGTTTCCGGATCGCAAATTCACGAGCACTGTTCCTCGTTGTGAATTCTAATTGGCAATAAACCACGATTCTCCTGGACTAAGACATCGATGAAGAACAGGTAAATGAAGAGCACATTTTGTTTTCGTTGTAAAAACCGAGTCGTCGAATCTTAAAGTCACCTTTCGAATGCTAATTTTAAAATTTTGAAAGTGACATCAAATCCGTCGTTTCTTTTCTGTAATATTGATTGTAAATATTGATTTGATAGAAAAGATTATCTTTTATTGCTATTTTTTTTTTCGATAATCAGAATTTCGAATAGATAGAATAGTTGGAAATGAATAAAAAATTAATTTTTTTTGGACACGAAGCTTTGGAACGTAATCAAATTTTTTTTATTATAGCGATGATTATTAATTTCTGAACGAATCAGGTCGTGCACGGTGAATAAAGAAACTTTACGAGGAAAATTGTAACAAATTTTATTCACACGATATTATTTTATTTTATTTTTTTTTTTTTTTTCTTGCAATGCCAAGCAATGTTTGTTCATTGCTTGTTATTAATTAGCGTTCCACAATGAGAACACCATAACGGATTTTCAAAGTTGGCAGATTTGTTTACGATTTACACGATATGTTGGTGTACATTGGTCGTTGCTAAACTATTGTTCGTTTGCTTCATAGATTTTATTGAAAAGGCCAGATGCGCATACATGATTTTCAATTGTATTTTTGCATTAAAATGTAATTATCATCAGAAACGAATCGGTAATTAATGAAATTCATTAGCTGAATAATTAATTTGCGGAATCATTGTCTATCGCAATTACATCAAATTTGAATTAAAACGAATTTATTCTAACCAAAAAAAGAATCAAAATTATTCTAGATTTCTAAAATCTTCTTTGATATAAAATAAATTTATATAGAATTTCTAAAAATATTTCTGTTTCATTTTTAACAGTCGTAATTAATTTGCATTATTGTATTTCATGCTCGAAACGTTCCTTCTCCTTTTGTCCACTAAAGGACAAAAATTAAAAATTAATTCAGTAGAAACATTTTCAAGAAGTTTATTTGTCTAAGTTTACAAAGGAAACTGGAGACAGAATTCAGAGCACGAAGCTAAAAGTTCACAATAGTGAAGTGACCATGTACAACGTCTATGCTTGGCATTGTAAAGGCGAATGAACTTTTCAAATGTTGGACGTGAATGAAGGTCTTGTCGAATTGCTGCAAATGACAAGTGTTTAGGAAAGTACGGAAGGAATCGAGTTGGATTCTGTTTCTGAGATGAGACACGACTTTCAATTGATTGTACGGATAAAGTCCACGAAGAATCTCTGGCATAAAGATACCATTTGATGGATAGATTTAAGAAAGGAATAGAAACCAAGAACAAAATTAATTTGCAGTTAAGTGCTAATTATATTAGGATAAAAAAAAATATAAAATTTTGAAATAAGAATCGTGAGATGAAATAAATTATTAATCTTAATCTTAATTTATCTCAATTATCTAAATCTAAATTTGTTAAGAGATATTTAATTTTAAAAGAGATCGTTTGTTAATCAACAAGATATTTCTTTTTTATATCATCTTACTTGAAACTTTTCCATTTCACTCTATCTATTCGCTTCCTCGAACCCCATGGAGACAATGATTTACACCGGAATAACGCAATTACACGCAACGGGAGTGTGATCATAGAGGGTCGCCGGAATGCAATCCATTTTCCAAGAGAAAGATCGTCTCGATGAGAATTTATTTCCACTCTATTCCATTTTTATCATGGAGATAAAACGAAAATTAATTTCTTGCCAATTAATTCGTATTTTTATCTTAGAATTAATATTTCTAATGACGATTTCAACCTCCTATATAACTATATCTTTTCTATAAAAATCTATAAAAATGATTATTTAGAAACTACTACTTTACCTCAGTTCTCTTACACTCATTAACCAATGTCACTCAAAAGCCATGGAGCTTCATCCCAACTCTCTAAATCTTATAAATATTCATACACAAATAATCCCCTTTATTTCCATTTGTTCTGATTATTCTCCTTTATTCCAACAAAATTTAAATCCCTGCAATAATACATCCTCGCGCATTTAAATTCACCTATCGATTCCTTCATTTCCACAAAGACTTGTGTACCTTCCAAGATCCCAAAGAAACAAACTTAAGCCTTAAGTCTCTCCCTACGCCTCGATCTTCCCTCCCTTTGTCTTAGACGATGCTCACCACGATCGCAGTGTATCCGATCCGCGCGAATCCATCCTTCCGGAAAATTATCCCGCCGAAAGGGATTCGGCCTTTGGCACGAAACGGCCACACGAGGAGACGGTCGGAGTCGAAATCGGATGAGCGATAACAGCGTGATGACGTCACGCTCTCGATAACTCAGAAATTTCCGGCTGCCCCGTGGAACCGGAACCCAGCGGACCGGAAGAACGCGGAGCTTTCCGCGTTTAATGGGGGGTTAGAGTTAATCAAGCGTTCGCCTCTCTGTCCTAAATGATACAGGGGGGGGAAAAAAAACTGCTGACGAGGGAGAGAGATACGAGATGGACCCGATAGTTTGCAAATACGTGACTAAGTGGTGGACGATTAATTCGTGCGACGTTTTTGCGAGGTTGGTCAGTGATTTATTGGAATGTTGGGAATATTAAATTTTGAAAGCTATTGAATTAGAAATTTGTAATTATAATTTTATGTTATACGCGAATGATGTATTGATATTCAAATTGTTATATAAGAATTTATTGTTATTTGGTTAATTTGAAACAGTTAAATCCGATTGATTATTATTATTATTCTCGAATGTTATAGATATTCTATATATAAATCTATATTACAAATTTTTCAATTTAACGTAAATAAAGTTAAATGAAAATAAGGAAAATATTGCATAGAATTGTGTAGTATATCGCAACTTTTTTATCAGAATGAAAAATATGAATTTTACTGAAATTTTTGTTAGAGAGAATTCGTTATTTTAATGCAATGTATTTTATCGTACATTTGCACTGTTTTGATCTCTTTTAAATTCTGTTACTACATTCAGTGGCAACAAATCATAATCCTTTAATGGAGTTTTATTTCTACTATTTATAGAACTACACAAAAACAGGAAACTTTTCAAAAATACATTTTCATTCAGTTATAGTAATATAGAAATTTATAAACATTTATCAAACATTTCGAATTATACAAATCTATCTATAGACTAAATTAAAACAATAATAACTTGAAAATATTCTCACTAAAACACAATAAAAATATTCGTTCTTTTTCCTTCGAAGCTTTTCATAAAAACATTTTACTTTAAAATAAATACTTAAATGAAACAATTTTTAATGCTTCCACAAGATTCTACTAAATACTCTTCCCATAACATTAACGTACAGTAAAAGAAAAAAAAAAAAAACAAAATCGTTTCTGCAGGAAGTCTATACTTTACGATCTTGCTCACAGCAGTCTTCTTTTTATTTACTCAAGAAACGAATGGCTATCCAAATCGGAAACGTTATTCCAGAACCAGAATTTTACGACGTTTGCAACATTGTTTATATAATGTCTTTATCGTTTTTCTCCTTTTTTTGGCAAGACTGAATTGTATACCAATACCAAAAAGCTTTCTCATGATTGAACATTTTCTTTCCTTCCTATATCTCGTAACAAATCACCGCTCATTAAGAACGATTTGTCTTACTTTTCTTGTAATAGATCGGGAGTATCTAATAAAAGCTGGGTGTTCCTTCCCAGATACGGTATCATGGAAACTCGTTCGTCATGATTTGGCTGTTTTACATGGGTGTCTCTGGTGAGACAACGAATTCTGGTGAGGATCGATAAAATGAAAATTCAATAGATCATTGAATGAAGAATGGAAGAATTTTCATTTTCGTATTGAAAAAAATTTGATTTATATTTAAAAGCTTTATCTATATTATATTAATAAATAAAATCCTTAAATAATTAAAATCTTTTCATATTTACCAAGTATTATTATATTTTTATTATATTGTAATATTTATTTTAAAATATTGAAATATTTAATTTAATTCGAAACACATATTAAATATTCTCGAAGAAAATTTTAGCGGTTTAATCGAGATGTGAGAAGCATCGAATTCATCTATTATTTCAAAGTGTAACTTTGATATTTCGATCGAACGAAAGCTATTAGTCAGTTTATGCTGACTGCATGCTAATTTTCCCCGGATGAAGGCAATGAATGTCCCGACAGATGGACGAAAGAAAGATAGCGCGTTTTTCCGTTAATCCGAAAAGCAATATCGAACTTGCGATGGTCGTTCTATCGGTGATGAAAACGTCACGAATAAATGAACCTTTCTGTATGCTGAAACGGCATAGTATCGCGCAAATCACTGAATACCGAAAGCAACGAATGATATTTCTACTTTTCGATTAATTTCGTTGCTGATAATCAATCTTTTCGTTAAATTTGTTTGTCGATAACGATCT